TTCTTTCTTTCTACTGTATTCATTTTTTTTTCGTATCTTATTATTTTTATAATTTTTTATCTTCATAACGTACTTTAAAGCCATTTTACCTATCCAGGAAGTTCACCCAAATCTGATCATGCTCACTTTCATTCGACCTAATGCTAACAAGCTGCAGGCTATTGAGAGACTTTTGAATGTAATCCATGAAAATTAAGACTCAGAAAGTTTGGCATTCAGCATGCCCCCCCCCCCCTCTTTAAGTCGCAAGTCCTGTTAAGATCTAATAAGTGGCAAGGAGAATTCACTGAATGTCGGTTTTTTTTTTCCTCCAGTGAAAGAATTTAATGTGGATGTCTCGTGTTCAAATTGTTTTATTCATGTGCTGAAAATGTACAATGCAATCAAAAACATTTCCATTTGTTTGGATCAATAAAACAATCTCATCGTACCTTAAATAGTAGTTATCATTTATATTATGTGATCAGAAAAACAATTGGAAAAAAAAGGAAATGCAAATGCCATAAAATTAAATGACTACATTCTTAGGATTACATTTTAATTGCATACAATATACTTAGTTATTTCATGAGTATTTTAAAAATATTGTATAATCTTTTTGTTATAAACTCCATCAGACTTTTAGTTATAATTAAAATGATCATCATTTGTTTCATTTACTGTGATTTAGTCAACGAAGTGTGCTACGACTGATTAGAGATTACTCACAGGATGGTGATCTTTTACTACTTTCGCATTCCTCACAATCATCACATAACTGCCAGTATAGACTTCTCTTTAACTATGGATTATTATTTCATTTTAAAAAAAAAAAAAATCAGTGGAACCAAAATTCTCAGAAAGAAAATTGATAATAAAGAAAATAACAATATATGAAAGTTAGACATATTTACATAAAGATGGATGTATTGATAAGCATCACATAAATAAATTAATAGATCAGTCTGTACAAAAAAATCATAGTACAAAAATAATTGTGAATTCTTTCCATGAGATGTGTCGGAAGAGAACACTGGAAAATTCTGTCAACATTGTGGGGAAAATGCATTTTTATATCATCTTTCGGCCCAAAACCGCATTGAAAGAATTGTTTATTATACTATAATATATAAATTAAGCATCAGAAAATGGAAATAAGAGAGGGCTTACCACAATCTACGACCATTCGGCTATGTTCTGATACAAAGCGCAATTAACGAAGAAACGTATGATCCGATTACTTCCGTCGTATGCTCCAATTACTTCCTTCGTATGCTCCGATTACTTCCGTCTTATGCTCAGGTTACTTCCGTCGTATGCTCCGATTACTTCCGTCTTATGCTCAGGTTACTTCCGTCGTATGCTCCAATTACTTCCTTCGTATGCTCCGATTACTTCCTTCGTATGCTCCGATTACTTCCGTCTTATGCTCAGGTTACTTCCGTCGTATGCTCCGATTACTTCCGTAGTATATTCCGATTGCTTCCGTCGTTAACTATGTGTACATTACTCATTGACTAGCAACCCTTGATGGACAACAGCTGTCATCGTCGCGTGCAATACGACGGTTCTACTTATAACCATTGACCATTCTAACACGGGAAAACGTAACATCACCTAACGTAATGTTACTATGTTAAACTATTTAAATGCACTTAGTTTTTGTTCGTGGCTGGCTGGTGGACGGGCAAAATCTTCGGACGGCTCATTGACCCACTTCTCGCAAAACGATCCAGCTGAAACGTTGCACATAGACTCTTGTCGGTGAGAACTCATTCTTTTAACATTTAAGCCCCAACCTCCTAAAATCACGTGTTTCTGTTTTTTTCAAGGAGAAGATGCTGGAAATATTATGCCACTGATTTCACGAAATAAAATTCCCGATAATGTGCTAAATGAGATTCTTTGGGGGAAAAAATAGCTAGTGCGTTTTGTACGTTTTTCTTTTATCTTTCTGAAATAGTTGGTGAGAAGCATCTTCGTTGTCATAGCGGATGGGTCATTCGAATATTAATATAGTTCAGGGGCGTAAATTGGTGCGATCCTTGGATGAAGGAACACTAATTTGGATTCTTTAAAAGTGCAATAATTTTGTGTTTGTTTTGTAAAATATTCAGCCATCACCCTCCTCCGGTGCATTTTTTTCTCTCAATATTGCATTTTATTAAGCATTATTACGAAAAACGTTGTTGTAAGGGTTTGACTGATCAGACAATGCTTCCGTAAAACATGGCTTCTAAGAATGTGTTTTCACATTTATTAAAGCCGTAACAATTTGTTTGTAAAATCTTTCGTAGAAATAAAGTTGTAAACACGGTTCCGTCAAGGTTAAGACCCACTTCGCTGACTCACATTGACGTAGAAGTACCGCACAGCTGTTGAGAGATATTGTTCAAACGGAATACCCGGATGCTATTATTAATATCTCGATGAGATTGGCCAGAATTTACCCCGGGATATTCTAGTAGTAGACTCCCGCCATTAAATGGCAAACACTATTTTAATTCTACCCACAATGTTGCATAAAACTTTACTCCAAGTGCTACATTTAGAGGCCGACCGAATTTCGGCTTCGGTTTCGGCGCCGAAAGTGGCCGTTTTATCACTTTCGGCCAAGTTTCGGTTTCGGCCGAAATTGACTTAGACTTTCGGCCATCCGGCCGAAAGTGACTCAGGTTTTCGGTCAATTAATACTCAGAGAAAGCGATATTTAACAACAAACTGAGCGACATTTAAGAACAAATTAAGCGATCTTTGAGAACAAACTAAATGATCTTTAAAACAAACTAAGCGATCTTTAAGAACTATCTAAGCGATCTTTGAAGCAGACGTGAGTTAAAAAGGGCAAGGTTAACTTGTATACAATAGTACCTACAATATAACGCAATTAGTACATAGGATCAATGTAAACCGTACCTGGCTTTTATACAGGGACAGATGGCGATTAAATGAATACAAAAAAAAACATCAGTTAAGTAGTCCATGAGCTGCATCCATGGTGGTTTTATTGAAATGCATGCATTCAGTGATGAATAGTTTGTCTTATGGAACAGACAGACAACTTGAAGCGAATTGAGTGCTGGTGGGCCGCATGCGGCCCGCGGGCCGTATGTTGTGCATGCCTGTTTTAAAGAAGCATGTCTTGTTGTGTGTAGAAAAAAAAATCAAACAACTCCGCCGCATTAGAAGGTCATCCAATGGTTATAAAGTGGTCAGTACATAAAATACAACAAATGCTTAAAGGTTTTTAGTTATTATATATTTGTGTGTGAATCTTGATATTCATCTGGGAATGTTCCTGTGACTTTTGTTGTGTTGGTCACTGTAAGCGGGTTGTCATGTTTGTAACTGTACTGTCCAGATGATTATAGATACCGATGTACAACTGTAATGTCCCTTTGGTGTAATATTCACAAATCTATACTTGTCATGTTGGACGTATGGATTTAGTCACCTATTGGACTGATGGCGATAGTCGGCATTTACACCTGTAATGTCATGTTGGACATTGTATGGCATGCGTCCATTTACACCTGTAATATCATGTTGGATATAGTATGACATGCGTCCATTTACACCTGTAATGTCATGTTGGATATAGTATGACATGCGTCCATTGGCACACTCTATGTCCCTTTGGACAGGTCATGGTTGTCGGATGCTGTTACGCAACTGTATGGTTTTGAAGATTTCATCTATGTTTCGATTAGGCTCCTAGAATAAACAATACGTAACAAAGGACTGAGAAAAAACAGTACTGAAAGAAAACGGGACCAAAGCTAGTCACACTAACAATATTTAATTTAATTAAACTAAGAAAATTTCAATACAAATTAAAATTCCAGCGCAAAAACACAAACATGTATATCATCTTACAGCAAATCATGTGGAAGTGGTACACTCCTCAAAATAGAAATATTAATCTACACACAAACACACTTATATAACTCTTGGATAGCAAAACTAAGTCCGTCATTATGTCTCTCTCTCTCTCTCTCTCTCTCTCTCTCTCTCTCTCTCTCTCTCTCTCTCTCTCTCTCTCTCTTTTTACTCTCATATTTAATCTCCCACCTTTCAAAAACCTACATTCAAAAAATAGATATATATATCTACACACACACACACATATATATCTCTTGGATAGCAAAACTATGTCCGTCTTTATGTCTCTCTCTCTCTCTCTCTCTCTCTCTCTCTCTCTCTCTCTCTCTCTCTCTCTCTCTCTCTCTCTTGACACTGACATTTAAACTCCGACGTTTGTAACACTGGCATTCAAAACACTGAAATTTGAAACGCTTACAATTAAAACACTGATCATCTTGTTGAGATTCACGACATTCGAACAAAAAAATAAAATTGAGCAAAAAAAAAAAAATAATTAAGAACCCATTTTTTTAAAATGTCTAATTTAAAAAAAAAAATGAAATTTAGAATTGTTCTATAAAGCAATGATGGTTAAATGGCTGTAAAACTCTACATTGAACGTTTAATGCAGTTTTTTATCAATTTGACTTCAAGATCTCAGTAAGTTTACAAGCCATGAAATCAAAACCTCTGCATGAGTAAATTTACATTAAACTTATTTTAAACAATTTTTAATTTCTTTTTTAAAAAAAGTTAATATACAAATTTAAATGTTGCTTAAACTAGTTACACACAGAAAACTATTTTGACTCTTAACAATTTTTATTCCCTGACACGACAGTTGTCAAAAAATTTCCGGGAAATGATTAACTTTTGTTGATTGTCTTCAGTGCTAAGCGTATTAACCAAGTTTTAAAATAATTAAATACATTTTAATATGACAAAAATTAACTATTCGACATGTCACCCTTAATAATTAATTCTTTGGTTTACGCTGAGAGTAATGTATGCTACAAATCAAACAGGTCAGCCTGACAGCGATCACTTCAGCTTACATTAGTTATGACGCTAATTGAAATTCTTTCCGCTGATACAGTCGATTCCCCCATGGACACCTGTTCGACTCGGACATCTGTGGCAACTTGCCTCGTGCAACACCGCGGGAAAATTGCGTGCAACGTTTTCTTGTACTTGGAGCTGATCCTGTAGTACAAGAGACTCGAGACGCTCGAGTTGACGGAGTTGAAGAGAAACGCGAATGACCAAGCCACGTGAAATAAGTTGTACTGTTTTCCCGTAATGGCAAAGTCGGGCGTGATGGAAGTCGCTATGGAGCACGCGATACTGGGCGTGTAGCAGACGATCAGAACAGTGGCTTCAGCGACCACCATGTTTATGGTGTTACGTTCTCGTGAAGACATCGCCTCGGACTGCTCTCTGTCGGATGTCGTTGAGCGTCGCCATTTTGATTTCTTTTTGAGCTCAACTACCAAAATTGTCGTGAAGATGATGACAAAAATGAATGCAAGTATCGCCAGTACTGCCTGAAAAATGAAGATTATATTTTCAATTTCTATTTTGTTACTTCTGAAAGATATCCCAAGCTTTGTTTTGTTCTGGGCCGGATAGAAATTCCAACTGAAGTAGGCCGAGAAATAAAGGGGCAAATACCCTGCAATGTTGATGACGTAGATGAAAACTAAAATGGTAGCCGTGCGTCCTGGAGTCACAATTTGTTTTATCTTCAGCGGCACGGCGATCGACAGGCATCGTTCTGCCGTGATGTACACTGTTATCCAGCCAGTTATTACCACGAGAACGGAGTTCGGCCAGCCGGCGGTGAGGTACTGGACATCAAGGAAGTCAATGGGCGCGTCCAGATTTTCAACGTAGGGGTTCAAGCAAAAGTTGTGCCAGACCTGAAACATGAGGCCCAGCAGGTCAGAGATCGACTTGGCGAAGAAGCTTGAGTTGACCGATTTGCGGAGACCTTGTTTCACAAACACCGCAATGTTGATGGTGTTACCTACAATGCCGAACAAGCTAAGGGATGTGCAAAGGACGACGTGGTTGATCATGATGAACAGTTCCCGCGTAAAGTCGCTGAGGATTTGCGAACCATTGTCCATGGCAATTACAATACTTATGTTCTCAAGCCGAGTAACCGATTCGTTAGTCAATGTTTCCATATTTATCATATTATCAGTATTTAAGAAGGGCTGCCATCGACGGCAGTCGTATTTTCTTGAGGCCAGATAATGACCAGGCCAGAGATATAAAGATTCGACTGTGTTGATATCGTCTCCTGTGGAGCAGTGTTGGTTATATAAGAAAATTGGGCTAGGAATCCAACGTGTAGAATAGCATCGTGCAGGCTTTATCGACTGCAAAATTAACAACTTGAAAGCTGCTTCAGCATAGTTTTATATGCGATTTTCCTAAAATTGTGATGTACAGTTTTCATATCCTACAATTCTTTACGACACGCACACAATAATTTTGTAAATAACACACAGGGATAACCCTATAATTATATTTTTGTCAATATGTAAATATATAAATATAGTTATTGATTACGATCAAGTAAGTTAATCGACTGATCTATAGTTGGAAAACACTGCGTCAGAGAAACTAGCCATCGACGACAGACAAATAGCTTCCTAGGAGACCCGCCCTAAACGGTGATTGCAATTGTCGTCAAAGATTATACCTTTGTTTTCTACGATCCCATTAGCGACAGCTGTAACCATGTGCCCCAAGCCATAGCCCCTAACACTTTGGGCTAAATTATTTAACGACATCATCCGTGGGGTTTTACAGTAATTATCAGGGTCTGCCCTTCCTTGTTTTGCTCGGTCACCAAAAATGGACTACTTTATTCAGGCACAGGCCGGCATGGTGAACAGGCTGTAGCCGGGTTATTTGCAACTCGTGACCAGCAGTGCCCAGTAGTGTTCAGCAGTGCCCAGTAGTGTCCAGCAGTGCCCAGTAGTGTCCAGCAGTGCCCAGTAGTGTCCAGCAGTGCCCAGTAGTGTCCAGCAGTGCCCAGTAGTGTCCAGCAGGGCGCAAAGCTATTTTATAATTTTGAATAATATTAGAATCATTAGGGGTCGACACCTTTGAGGAGACCTTTGCATGGAGACCCTCCCATGGAGTCGGCCAAAAACGTAAACTTAATTTTTGCGTGGAAATACGTGGCGATAACGATCATAGTAATCCAAAGTAGAAACCACAGCTTTTATAATTAAGTTTACACTTTTTAAAAGAAGCTACTGTTTTGGTGATCCTTTGGGTAGCCAGTTGGTTCACCCCTAGAGCGAAACATCTAGTGGGGGGGGGGGGGGCCAACGCTGCGACAACTCTCCACTGGGTTCAGCGGAGGTGAAGGCTCATGACCAAAGAAATTAGACAAGAAGGAATAGCAGAAGCGTCGCATCACTCTATAACCCCCTTAACACGTGTCTCCTAACTGTTGGGCGAGCTATCAAGGCACCCTTGAGTCTAGCAAGCCACCTGAGTGATCACCGACTAGCAGAACATCTTAACGTGCGACGGACGAACAACACAAAACTTGGGATCAAAGTTACTGATTTTAGTATTTTTATTGCAAACATTAAACTCCTGCTGCATTATGTCACCAGAATGTCATCTAATCACCTCTTTAAAGGCCGGAAATGGTTTTTAAATTCCAAAAAAATCAGTTTACTCTAAAATATAATTTAAAAATTAAGCAGCTAAAAATAGAGAACACTATTTATATCAGAGTTAATACTATGTTAAAATGTTCACTCATGCGTTTGGACGCTGCCCTGACAATTTAACTGAAGTAGACATAGAAATGTGCGCCCAATTTTAAAATAAATTTAAAAAATAAAGGATTTAAATGGCATTGCTATTTATCCGACATCGCGTTCAGACTGACACAACTTAAGTTTAAGACCGTCATGAATTTACAATATTAAATTACATGTATTTTGATAAACTAAAGACCTGCTCCCCTGAATACACGAACTTGACGAGCATCTGACCACACACGTTTTGTTCGAGTACTAACATGTCATCTGAAAGTACCGAACACGTCCGCCTTTATAAACAGCAAGCTAGACCCACTAAATAATTATATACACATCAATTTTATTTCCTTCTCATTTATCCCAAATTGTTCCCCAGTCTAAAATAAAAAAACCAAACGGATCTTTCATATAATAAGATATATTTTTATATATACTTTTATAATTGCAACCAACAATTGTTCTACTTCGTGTCATAATCACACAAAAAATTGGTGTTGCAACATTTTACTATATGGCACCTAATATCAACAACATGGAAACTACTTTATGACAACGTGATTCATAATCTATACCCAGAAATAAAAGACCCGGAATAATCGGGTGTTTAAAAAAAAATGTTTCATTACAAAAATTGGATTATTTTAAAATTATTGAAAGTCATTGTCATCAAATATGTATCGTGTTCTCAAAGGACAACTGATGACAATTTGAAACTGTTGAGGCAGTCGAGTCCGTCGTCAATCCATTAACCTTTTATTTGTGGAATCGATCGATTATGAGTGATTGTTGATTTGAAGGCAAGAAGCGTAATAATATCTAATCGCTGCTCGTCGAGAGAAGTTGTCTTTTTATTGTGGACGACGCTTGGGAAATGAGGAGCCATTAAAATCTCTGATAAGGAACAAGAACACGGAATTAAGTTCTCATTCGTAGATAGTAGGACATGTGTAGCAGATTGCATGAGAGCAGTAGTGGATAATGTGATATGTGTAGCAAGTAGTATGAAATCTGTAGGAGATGGTAGGAAATCTTTAGCCGATAGTATGAAATCTGTAGCAGATAGTAGGAAATCTGTAGCCGATACTATGAAATCTGTAGCAGATATTAGAAAATCTGTAGCAGATAGTATTAAATCTGTAGCAGATAGTATCACATGTGATCAGATAGAATAACATGTGTAGCTGATAAAATGATATGTCCACAGATAGTATATGTGAAGAAAATAGTATGATATAGGTAGTAAATAGTATGACATATGTAGCTAATAGTATGATATATGTAGGAGAATTTATTTAGCGTTTACGTCGATATCCTTAAGAGAAAGCAAAACTTTCAGAGGATAATAATAGAGACATATTCAGCAAATTTATTTTAAAAAAGTATTTATGTAGGAAATGTGAAGAGGAAATTGGTTGGGCCTGGGGACACTAAGCAGGACACAAATGTTCGAGTGAGGGCCATCGCGGGATCAATTAATTATTTATTATTTTCTCATGCAATTCCCACTTACATGGCCCAGTCTGTAAGATATCATCAACTATTTTCCACTTACATGGCCCAGTCTGTAAGATATCATCAGCTATTTCCCCCTTACATGGCCCAGTCTGTAAGATATCATCAACTATTTTCCACTTACATGGCCCAGTCTGTAAGATATCATCAGCTATTTCCCACTTACATGGCCCATTCTGTAAGATATCCTCAGCCATTTCTCCCTTACATGGCCTATTCTGTACCATATCCTAAGCTATTTCACACATTATGGCCCATGGTTTTTTTTAAATTCCGCCGCTATCATTTCCCCCCCCCCCCAAAAAAAAAAATTAAAAAAATTAAAAAACAAACAACTATTCGTACCAAACCTGAAAAATACCATTCCTCCCTTACATGGCCTATTCTGTACCATATCCTAAGCTATTTCCCACATTATGGCCCATGGTTTTTTTTAAATTCCGCCCCTATCATTTCCCCCCCCCCCCAAAAAAAAAAATTCAAAATATTCAACTACTGACATCTGATCGTTCCAAAGCTGGAAAATTTCGCCAAGATAATTTGACTGATCTTATGGTTAGGAGATAATATGTGAAACAAACAGTATTTAATCCCACTGGAGTTAAAGCCATTTTTTTCATTCTATGAAAATAAGGAAATGGAAGTCTGCTAAAGGACCCACACATTGTGCGATATGGTTTTGATACATCCCAGTTTTAAACTAAACAATTTTTTAATGAAGTCAGAAAAAAAAAAAATTCTCCACAAACAAACATTGCCATGGAGAAATAATCTTTAATTCTATGACTGATTTAAAAAACTAAAAAAAAGGCAACAACAAAAAAGTGAAGCTTCAAATGAATGAGGATTGCATTTCATCTAAAATTGGTTTAATGTTGTTATGTATTGATCATTTTTTTAACGTCTAATGGAGGCAAATGATCAGACTATCCTGTTTAAAATATAATTGGATGAGTACAATCGTTGTCCAATGTATAGACGATCATATTTCATTGTCGTAGGGCGGGTGTTTGATGATGACTCTAAATTATTTCACCAATATATTATGTTAACTGTCTATTGATGTACATTACTTTGATGATTACAAAAAAAAGGGGGGGGGGGTGTTCGACTATACAAAACAAAACCTGATAACAATTCTAAAAGGGACGTGAGCTGAGGACGTCTAGAAATAGATTTCCCATCAACCTTCATTAGGTGATTTAGTTGGTACTCCGTGCTGGAAATTTAACAAGGAGGACCAATGTCGTCATGTTGCTTAGCTATCTTGTAGTGTCTTATTACTTATGGAGAACAGTGTCTCTTACAATTTCCTCCGGGGGTAGGGGGGATTTTAGATTTTTTTTTTTTGGGGGGGGGGCAGGGTGTTGGCAGAGCCATTGTCCAGATGCATATCTAAAGAGAACAGATCGGATAGATGTCCCCTAGCGCCACACTAATGGGGGCGCCATAATTAGGTTTGTCGGCATTCAGTCGATACAAATAATTTTTTTTCAGAGTTGATGTCAGTGTAAGAGGGGCGGAAAAAAAGAAACTTGTCCCCTGGCGCCATCTACGCTTCTGCCAGAGTACGGAGGAAGTGGGTGGTCCGCCCGTGTGTCTCTTTTTAATAGTGTGTAGGAGCGTGTTGACCTCTCATTCCTTTCAGGGGACCTCGGATATTTTATAGTTTTTTTTTTTTTTTAAGTTTCATCTTTGAATGATAGGTTGACATGGGGGCACAGAACCGAAAAGTGCCAAGGGACCTTGAAATGTCAAGCAAGGGTTCTTCTGGGCCTGCTTGTGTTTTAACAAGTTTCAAATATATACTACTTAATAGTTAT